CACAGTGTCAGGATCCAGAATTCTGGCTTTTCATAGTCCCTGCTTCGTTGCCCTTAAGCTATTCCGTTGTTAAGTATTAAGAAAAGGAAATGTATTGGAATTCTACCATGCAGCTGTGAGCCAAAGGACCAGGTAACAAGAGAATATAACTTTTCCTCACTTCATTCTATTTTTCTAGATATCTCCTTCTGAGTGGGGGAGGCACCTAAAGTCAAAACACTATTAGATATTACTAGGTCCCTCTAATAAAAGTGTCATTTCTGTATAAGTTAAGAACATACTACAGTTTCTGAACATATTTTTCTTTTCCTTCTTTCCTTCTTGTACTGGGGATTAAATCCAGGGGCTCTCTACCACTGATCTGTGTCTACATCCCCCTGCCACTTTTTTTTTTTTTTTTTTTTTGGTAAGTCAAGGACTAAATTCCTGAGGCTGACCTCGAATTTGTGAACTTCTTGCTTTAGCCTCTCTAGTCGCTGGGATTGTAAGCATGCACCATAGCACCTTGCCCAATTTCTTAAATAGTATAAGGATAAACCTTGAAAATTTGACCATTGACTAGAAATTTTAACATCTAGAAGGTCAAAGCAATGAAAACTCCAGAAGAAACTTCAGAGATGCAAGTGATAAAGTATGATACATTGTACAATCTATGTGCTTCTATTTTTGCTTTTTTTCAATTACTATTAATTCTTTCATTTTATTATTCATTAAAATGAACTCTTTATATACATGTGAACATATCTGCAAGAGATACTTAAGGATGCATACCAACAGGTGTCTACCTGTAGGACACTCTTCACTATAGATCTCAAAATGAAGACCATACTAATCAGCTGGTAGCTGAAATGCTGGTCAAGAATTTGCAAGAACACAGCCTCTGACTGATATTCATGCATCCTGGACTCTTTGCCATAGGATTGTAATACTCTTAAAAACCTACTCCAAAACCACAAATGGTCTCAGATTAACAGGTTCTGCCTTTAGGGCTCAACAGTCTAACTCCTACTCTGTCCAGTTTCCTCTTCTCTTAACCTCTGAGTTACAATAAGAAATGTAAATACTGGCAAGGAAAAAAAAAAGTTCAGTATCTACTACCTGGAAGCATTTCCTCTAAAAGAGAAACATAAAAGTTTATTCAAAAAGAAAACCACTCTAAAAAATGCATCTGTAAACAATAGTTTTCAAAAGATGGTAAATTTGGGGAGAACTGACAGTTTTCATGTTACCATCACTTCCGGGAGTCTAGAAAGTTATTTCTTTCAGATATACTTTCATGTTAAGATACTCATGTTAGGTTGGGAAAGTGTAGGTACTCTCTCCAGTTCATACAGAAGTTGTAGCACATCGTGTTCAAAGAATTGAGAGTGACCCATCCTGAGACACACATGGGGACGGTAGCAGAGTTAGAACAGAAGTTCTAAGAGACAAGACAAAGAAAATAGGTCTGCACTTCTCTTTTTTATAAATGATCCAGGAATATGTGTACAAGGAACATCTCATCTTACCACAATAACTCTTCTATGTTGGGTTTCCAGATAAAAGTACTGAGTATCCAGTTAAGTTGGAATTAAATAACAATTAATTTTTAATATAGATATGTCACATGAAACAGCAGTGAATTTTCAATATAGGTATGTCACATGTCACATTTTTTACACACTTATACTTAAAAAATTCAATGTTTATCTAAAATGCATTTTAACTGGGTGTTCTATGCTTTATTTACTAAATCTGAGAGTCTATTCAATGTGTCTTCAAAAATTACTTGTAAATGCCCTCGGCTCACAACTTTTTACCTTCAACCCACACATACCCCCTGAATTCCAGACTCACAAAATTAATTGCTCACTGAACACCTCTGTGTCTACTGGGCATTTTAAACTCAACAGATTCCCAACTGAGCTGCTATCTGCCACCATGCCCTTCCTCCCCCCAGACCAGCTTTTCCTGCAGTCTGCCCCACCCCAGTTAAGTTTCCTTTCATCCATTACTTGGATCAAAAATTCAATATCATCCTTACCTCCATTTTCTCTTCCATTTCAAACCCTGTATGAGTTTTGCAATTCAGATGCTTTAAGTTTAAGGCTAAATAATGGGTTTAGGCAGTACAGTCAATGAAGAAATAAATCCCCAAGGGTATTTGCACAGTTTTTTTTTTCTGGGCCTGAGATGTCTTGTCCTTGGAATCAGGGAGTTCTTGCCACATTTGTGCCCATGGACCAAGAAATGACTGTACTTAAAAAAGGGCAAAGGTGGCAACATCTTTTCATTTATAAATTCAGCCCTAGTGTTTCACTTTCACTTCCAAAAGCACCACTGAAAACTTTTCATGAGAACTGTTGTTACAATTTTAGAGTAAGAGCATATAGCTTTCTGGACTCTCAATACATCTTTGCCAACCAGATGACAAAGGAGTTTTATGAAAGTAGAAGAGAATGTACACAGTATATACTGGCATCATATCCAAATCAACACTTCAAGGTACAGATCTCCTGAACATTTATTGCCAGTTCTTTGTTTAATATAAAAAAAATGGTTAATCTGAGGCTATGTCAGGTCTGTCTTATCAAACATTTATATTAAGAAATATAAAGTTTAGATAATCAGAACAAACTAATTTTCAAAAATCAATTCCAGACCAGTAAGTAGTTTTTCGTAGTTTCCACCAGCTGTTACCCTCTGAGATTCTCAATGAAGAACAATGGTCTATTCTCTACTTTAATGCATGTTTAATGCATAAAGAGGTTTGTAGTATTTTCAGATATTTATGGGCTGGTGTTCAGCAGAGCCAAATTGAAAGCCAGCACTTTGTGTCATGAAGCTTTGCTACCTACGTCAGCATGTCAAGAGTAACACCTCATACAACATTCTAACAAGGGTGAGTTCATATTCATAAACATCTAGCATGTTAATAATGTAACTTACAAAAGTGGCCAGGTCAAAAATAAGGTAGGTACCCATGTGAGAAAACGAATTGAAAAGATGAAGAGTAAAAACTACCTTGAATTCCTTTACCCAATAACCAAAGATTTGTACTAAAATTTAGAATAAATGACAGAGGTAGCAATATATATCATTTATGTGGAACACAAAAGGATTAGGAATTTCTTAAAGAAATTTAATAATTGCATTTGACAAAAAAGTTCATTGTAAATTTCAATTTTATAATTACCTCTCTAGTATATTGACACATTAGCTCCATATCATGCATTTTTCTTAGATTTCATATTTTGAGGGAACAATCAAATTTGAATGAATGACCTAATTTTTAAAAATTTTTGTTCATTTCAAAGTCAAAAGTTTCCATAACTTTCCATGCCTTGTCAAGAACATAACGGGGCATGTTTTATTCTGTTGGTATGCCCAGGTCTCTAAAACTTTTAAAAGATTCTGTCATATGGTGAAATATTCCTTTCAAGCCTAGATTTTTAAAAAATTGATTGTTTTTTCAGCATGTCTGAAACCTAGTTATTAGTTCCCACAAATAAAAGTTGTATAGTCAGCCTGTAGAAGAAGTTTCATAGATGCCCAGTCAAAGCTGTCATATCTGAAAGACTATCTTTAGGTGTGTGAATGTGTTTGTGTGTGTGTGTGTGTGTGTTGTGGTGTGTTTATTGTGGTAGGGGGGATAAATTCTATGAAATTGTCAAGAACACTTTCAGTATCCCAATTTAGTAGTATTTTCACCCATTTCTTATAAAGACTTCCCATGGTTGGTTTTCTTCCCACTGATGAATTGACTAACTCCAAATGCACATGTGTCACTTTATCCCATCATCTTCCCGTCAGTCTCCTGGTAACTCTGCTTTCCAAAAATACAAATCAAATGCTTTAACCCTCAGATTTTATCAATTAATAATTTCCAATTATCTATTTTTACTTGAATATTTCATGATTTACTTGTATTTACTGATTCTCTCAGGTCATTTGAAACACTGAAATATATACATGACAGCAATCATACTACTCAAAATATTCTCCTGCACATGGCACCGAGAGGAAAACTACCCACCCTAAGTATAGCTATTAATGTCAAACAGATTGTCATCTGGGAAAACAAAAATGCATCAAAATCAGCTTCGGACAAAGTACACTCTATGGAAAAACACCAGGTTTTTATGTGCAAATGTATTCAATGTCTGATTGAAATGTTTAAAGAATGAGTTAGCAAGGAATCTGTTCCTGGTCTGTGTAATCCAGGACAATGCAATAAAAACAGTTTCAAAGCTAAAAGGTTTTTAGTTACAGCCGACTATGATTTTACCAAAGATGCATTTGCCCCAGTTTCTTGTAAATATTGTAAAGAAACGTTTGGATTCTAGCTTGGGTCGAGGGCTCTATTTAGCCTATCAAGGCACAGACCTGTTATAAACGCTGGGGCGCTTGCCAGAATTTTTTTCCCCAGAAACTCTGAGTAAAGATCGTACCTCGAAAGCAATGTGCGTTGCAAACCCCGCAGATTTAAGCTCCTACTCCTGCCTCCCTAGCTTGGCACCAACGGCTTCTGGGATATCCTTCGCCTCCTAAATTTCAAACCAAATTGCCAGACCCTACCACCATAATGCCACCATCCTTGCACAGCCCTCAGGGGCTCAGCATAGAGTCTCCCAAGGGCACTTGCAGCCTTCCACGTCCTTGCAGGGTAAATTCATAGTGCTACCAGCTCCCAGCTCAGCACCCACCTACAAACGCTCTTGTACTGATTCTGCTACAAACTGCCCCCAAATTAGTCACCCACCTCACCCCTACCCCACGTCCGGGACTTTTTTCCCGTCCTCCTAGTGGCTTTATATTCAACACACCTGTCTACTCCTACGGCTGCCAGACGTCAGGTGCCCACGCTGTGCCCCATCCCGCGCCCCCTCAACCAGACTGGCGCTTCCACCTCCGCCCCGCGGACGGTCAGTTTACTCCGAGCACCCTCTTTTTCTCGCCCGTGTGCTCACCGCCCCCAACTCCCACCCTCAAGAGCGCAGGTGGAAAAACACCCACTGTACCTGCCGAGAGTTCGGCGGCCACTGCAAACAGCAGGAGAGCCTGGAGGAGCGCTGAGCGGAGCGCCGGGGTCATGGCCACTCGGCGGCCGCGCTGGGGCTGCGGGGCCCCAGAGTTGAGCAAGGCAGCTGGGACAGCGCGGGCCTCTTTGAAGTTCCCGGGGCGCGGGAGGGGAACGCAGCCCCGACACCCTTTTGAAGTGTGCTGTTGACTCTAGTCAGTGCGGGCGCCCCCCTCCTCTGCCACCCCCATCCCACGCCCCCTGCGGCTGGCGGTGCGCGGCGCTCCTACCACTGGCCCCAGCAGCCGGCTGGGAGGGGGCGGAGGGGGGGTGCGACAGAGCCCGCCCCTGCCGCGCCTCCACCCCCTACGTCCTCTGGCAGGCACCCGGCCAGGTGCTGAGGGACAGGCGGGCCAAGGCGGCCCGATGGCGGGGCAGTGAGATCGCCCAGAGTCAAGGTGAAGAAAGAGGAGGTGGTGGGAGAGTGGCACTGAGCCCCCAAGGCTACTCGGTGAGTGGAGTAGGGACAGGAGGGAAAATCCCGTCGAGACTTTAGGGAAACTTAAAATTAAGCAGGAGTTGCTTTCTGGTGATCTGCGCTATGGTCTCCTTAGAAGATCCACTCTTCCAGGTCTTTTGACACTCGTTTATTTGTCCAGCTTAACTAGAATGTAACTAGTCTGCGCCTTGAGAATACCCTCTGGTGTTCCTGCGGATTTGTCCCACCAAGTCCTGGATGTTTGTGCGTTAGTGGAAGTGCGCCCTCTCTGTCCATCCCTGGAAATGACCAATTTCCCGACTGCCTTTGGGACCTACAACTTTGTCTGGTGTCTTTCAGAAACCCTCTGCTCTAAGAATGGCGACCAAACTGGGCCACCTACACCAGATGATGTCATCATCTGCAATGTGTAAAAGATTTTTAGGACCCGATCTAGAAAGGTATCTCAGCAGCTATAATTTTAGCAATTGAAGATCTGGGGAAAACATTATACACACCAACAGGGAGAAGAAGTGTTTAAAGTAATATATTACAAGCATTACTTAAAATATTACTTAAACCCCTAGAGGTTTATTGTTGAATAGAGGTGCTTCCCGTCTAAATTGTGACTCAAAACATAAGGGCAACATTATCAATTGAGAGAAATTAGCCTATACTCAATGCAGCTTGAATATAAAAGTGAGTGGAATTATTTTCATGTGAACGGCACGAAAAACCAAGAATACAACACTGATGCTATTACTGCTATTAGAGGGTTCCTTGAAAAGTGATTGAGTCATATAAATTAATTGCTTTAGAGGAAGAGATGACGTGCTTCTTCACTTAGCTCAGCATTAAATAGTGAGTGTTCTTTATGTCTATGAAATACCTATTGTATTTTTAAAAAAAGTCAGGGTGGCTGGGGCTGGGTATGTAACTCAGTGGTAAAGCGTCGGTGGGTTCAATCCCCAGTAACTAAAAATATAAATGGCCCTATTGTCAAGGGGCCATTTTGTCATTGTCACAATATTGTAGACAGGATGGTTGTTGAACTTTGAGGCATGAGGGTGACAGTCCCAAGAATATCTACCACCAACAACTTGTGTGAATCAAAACATTCCTAGGTATAAGAAAGACTTATTCTCATTTAATTCTGGATACAAACAAACAAACAAAAAATGGAGACGTGGGATAAGCCAGGGACCTTCCAAACACCCACAAAGCAGATGCTTTAAAATATACGTATATAAAAGAAGCAAGAAATACTGGGACATATATTTTGACTGGCTTGGTTGCTCATTATTTGGTAACTATACCCTAGATTGTGATAGCCAGTTGGATCATGAGAGTTGGAGCTTGAGGAAAATTTAGTACACTCTCTGGGTCTGCTTCCTTAAATAAAAATAAATGGTACTTAATTCCTCCCTATTTCTCAGAACTACAACTGGATTAAAAAAAGTAGTATATGTGAAAGCACTGTTAAACTATAGGCATTAAGTAATGTCAAGTGTTTACTCCCCACATATTTATTTTGTCTTGAATGCAGTAAGCAATGTCCTCTGCGAGTTGGAAAGCTCTTCTTTTCTAAGAAAGCAAAGTTATTATACCAAGAAATCTGATGCAGAATAACTCAATATTCTGAACAAAAGCATTGCTTTCCTCTTAGTCAAATGGTGCATTGTCAATACAGTATCTACTAACCAATGTGAATATTGAGCACTTGAAATGTAGCAGACCAAATTGACATGTACTGTAAGAGTAAAATACATGCTAGATCTCAAAGAATTAGCAAAAAAAGACCCACAAGACTGTAAAATACATTATTAATGACTTTTACATTGCTTACAAGTTGACATAATATTTTGGACAGATTGAATTAAATAAAATACAGTTGTGTACTGCATAACAACATTTCAATCAATGACAAACCTCATATACAACAGTGTTTCCCTAAGATTGTAATAGAGCTGAAAATTTCTATTGCCTTGTGACACAATAGCTCTCCTAAAACTATAATACATTGCGTTATTCGAATGTTTGTGGTGATGCTGGTATAAACAAACCTATTGCGCTGCCGGTCACATAAAAGTATAATAGAATTATGTACAATGCATAATATTTTATAATGATAAATGACTATTACTGGTTTATATATTAACTGTATTATATTTTTATGTTAGAGTGAATTTCAATATATGTTTATTATGTTTATCTTTAGAGTCTGTGTGTATTCATATATAGTACAACAAAATTTTAGATAAAAAGACTTAGGGAGTAGAGATATAAAGAAAGAAAATATTTTTGTACAGCTATAAAATGTGTTTGTGTTTTAAGCTAAGTGATATTATGAGCAAGTCAAAAGTATTTTAAATTAGAAAGTTTATACAGAAAAAGGTTATAGTAAGCCAAGGTTAATTTATTACTGAAGAAAGAATTTTTTTTTTACAAATTGAATGTAATCTACATATACAGCAGTGCACAGTGATATACCAGGCTTTGCATTCACTCACCACTCACTCACAACTCACCAGAACAACTTCTAGTCCTAAAGTTCCATTTGTGGTAAGTGCCCTATATAGTTGTATCACTTTAGTTTATTTCAGTGTGTTTATTATAACTTTTCTTGTTTAGATATATTTAGCTACACAAATACTTACCATTGTATTACATTTGCCTACAGGATTCAGTGCAGTAACATGCTATAGAAGTTTGTAGCCTAGGAACAGTAGGCTATACCTTGCAGCCTAGGTGTATAGTTGGCTAGATTTGTGTAAGTACACTCTATGATGTTTGCCCAAAGATAAAATTGCCTAATAAATACATTACTCAAAACTTATCCCATCATTAAGTGGTGCACAACTATATATTATTAAAATTAATTTTACCCATTCTTTTATCCTTTTTAATGTGTGCTGTAATTTGGATAAGTGTCCCCTAAATGGTACAGATATTAAATACCTGATTCCCCACTGCTGGTGGCAGTATTGTAAGGTGCTGGAAGCTTTAAGAGGCAGGGACCTAGCAGAAGGTCTTTAGGTCATTGGGGATGTGACCTTGAAGGACATAGGGAGACCCACCCTCTTCTTTTTCCCCCTTTTCAATTCCCAGCCATGAGGCAAGCTGTTTTGCTCTGCCACTAATTCCCATCCTGAATTGCCACCATAGCCCCAAAGCAACATGGCTAACCAACTAGGGCTGAAATCTGTAAATATGTGAGCCAAAATAAATCTTTTCTTTTTTTAAGTTGATCATCTCAGGTATGTGTCATAGTGACAGAAAACTGAATAATACAATATGACAACTAGACAATTTTAAATTACATATGAGGCTCACATTATATCTCTTTTGGACAGTACTGATCTAATTAAGTCTCATTAGATGGGAAAAATCCTTACCTTGTCTGAAAAACAATATGAAGAAACCAAAAGAGTGGCAGGTGTCTGGCCAGTCAATATGTAGTCAGCCAATAAAGGAATCAGGATCTTTTGAATTCTTGGTGCAAAGTTCTGGGACACTACAAAAAGGTTAATATGCCAAAAATTTAAGCTCTTTATTTGTAAGAGTATTTTAACTTATGTCTTTAAATACCATATTCCCTATCTTATTATGCATGTTCCAGTGTCAGTACTCTGAAACCCTTCAAGCAAGGTATTAACCACTCTCAATGTATTGGATCCCAAAGCTGGAAATTTATATACTTGGCAGTTGTAAATGTTTCTAACAAGTTTGAGTCCTTAATGTCACCTTCATGGCTAACAAGAACTGCATCCTTAAAATGTGTCCTGACTTATACTTTACTTACACACATACATGCACATATACCTACATATCCCTTTATGGCAGTTAACCCAGTCTTATAAAATGAACTACCATTGGGGCTGGGGTTGTGGCTCAGCGGTAGAGCGCTTGCCTCGCCCCTGTGAGGTACTGGGTTCAATCCTCAGCACCACATTAAAAAATAAATAAATAAATAAATAAACAAACAAAATAAGAAGGTATTGTGTTCATCTACAACTAAAAATACATATATATTTTAAAAAATGAACTACTGTTAAGAAAATACTATGGATCAGGTGTGGTGGGTCATGCCAGTAATCCCAGCAACTCAGGAAGCTGAGGCAGGGGGATCGCAAGTTCAAAGCCAGCCTCAACTCAGCAAGACTGTAAGCAACCTAGTGTAGACCCTTTCTCAAAATAAAAAATAAAAAGGACTGGGTGGTTAAGCACCCTTGAGTTCAATCCTTGGCCCCAAACAAACAAAAAACTCAGCTGTAGTGTATTAAGATGTTCCTGTGTTCCTGCTACTTAATATACACAATAGAGATTCATCATTCAAGATGTGTTATAACACACTTCCTTCATATAGTTGTACATAACAGAAAAAAATTTACTTGCAAGATTTTAAAATTTCACTAGAAGGAATTTACATGCAAATATATTTTTCATCATTTAACTTCCCCTCCAAATACCTAGTTGTACATATTCATTTCCATAGCAACATTACATCCTGACTCCTGGATTCTCAACAAAAGAAAACAATAATAAATAACTGAGAGTATATAACTTCTCAGCAAAACAGATTTTATGAGTAAATCCTATATAAGCAAAAAGAAAGTATGTATAAGGACTTTAAACTATAGAGATATGACACATTTGCAGATTATCATTCCAAACTCATAAGGCACATAACGTGTAATAACTGAACTTTGAAAAAGACTGTTTCTTAGCAGCTAGGGTGTGGCTCAGTGGTAGAGCACTTGCCTCCCACCT